GGAGAGAATAAAGAAGATGTTAGTGGTTCAAAGTGATTGGTTTTTGTCCGCATTAGATCATCACATTATTCTTATATGTGCTATACATATTTATAATGTATCTAATTCGCCAAACAAAGTTCTTGGAATAGATTACCTAAGATGACAACATTCTGATCGCATGTAGTAATAACTCTAATTGCAAGTTAATTTTTTAATCTAATAGGTTCTCTTAATTTTGTTGTGATGTCGTCAGTGCACGTATAAATCAACCTCTGTAGTGGTTAAGTATTATCTTAATGTGTGGATTATGGAAGACCCTAATACGCGGTCTACCTTAAGATATTTTAGTAGAAAATGGATTATTGGGACCATGAGTTAATTGATGAAGAAGCTTATGCATATATTAGTTGTTAGATATCAAACCCTTCTAATCATTAGATGCTTCCAATTTAAAATAATATTAATTTTAAAAAAAAACATTAGATTAGGCTAGGACGGCCAATTTGTTTTTGAAAAACATTATTAAGTACAAATTTATCATTTTTTTTCCCTATGAACTCCACTCTATTCCAATGGTTGGTCCAAACTTGTTGTGTGTCTTGTTTTAGATCACAATGGAATCGATTCTTTTAGGGTTAACAAGCATAGTAATAAGCCCACAAAGGTAGCCCAACAATTAAAGGTTCGAATTTCAAGACGAGCTTATGAGTTTGACTCTTGCTTGGCGTCTTTCGGACTTAATTGTTACATGTGTTTGTCGATTATTGCTAATATTTGAATTTACTCTATTATTCCAACAGGCCTTATCAACAAGTTCTCTCATCATAAAAATAAACAAATAAAAGAAGAAAACAAGTAAGGGTCAAATACAACAAATCGTCTTCAAAATATGTGTTTTTGTATCATTTTGGTTTCTGATATTTCAAATGTGTCAATTTTTTCCTTAACATATTATTTTTGTCAGTAAACAATCCCTGTAATTTTAGAGAAATCAGATTACGGAATAATTAGGATATCATTCCCTATTTATATTAATGAAGATTAATAATTACAAGAAGCCTAAGGCATAAAATAATACAAAATAATAACTCAAATAATCATATATTTTCTAACATCCTCCTCAAGCTGGTGCGAAAATATCTCTCATGTCAGTTTGCCTAAGATGTCATGAAATGGCTTACTCCCAACTCCTTTGGTGAGGATGTCAGCAAGTTGTTCACCAGACTGCACAAAGGGAGTACATATTGTGCCTAATGAGTTTCTCCTTATGAAGTGGCGATCAATCTCAACATGTTTTGTCCTGTCATGTTGACCAATTAGTGAGCGATGTTGATAGCGGCTTTATTATCACAATATAACCGTATGGAATCCGTCTGATCAATACCTAGATCACTCAACAATAACCTGATCCATAAGAGCTTCACACACGCTTGTGCCATATTCTAAACTCAGCTTCTGTATCGACCTGGCAACCACATTCTGTTCTTACTTCTCCAAGTAACTACGTTACTTCCACCAGAGGTGTAATACCCTGAAGTCGATCTCCTATCAGTCACTGATCCAGCCCAATCAGCATCTGTATAGGCTTTTGCACGAAGATGATCATACCTTGAAAATAAACACCCTTATAGGAGCAGACTTCAAGTACCTCAAATTCGCATGACAGCCTCGAAAGTGAATCTGATGGGAGCATGCATAAACTGGCTAACCACACTGACAAACAACAGCAATATCAAGACGAGAGTGAGATAGGTAAAATGAGTTTACCCACTAATCGCTGATAGCTCCCTTTTGTCAACAGTTGCTCCTCCTCCATCATCCTCCAGTTTTCTGATTGGGTTCTAGTTGAGTGTCACAGGCCTTGCAGGCCAAGCATCCATTTCCTTTTAACAAATCAAACACATACTTCCTTTGTGAGGATAAATATCCCATCCTTGGAGGCGAGCAACTTCAATTCCGGAAAATACTTTTAGCTCCCCAAGTCTTTGATCTCAAACTCACGGCTAAATATTTCTTTAACAAAGGAATTTTCTCACTATCATCACCCGTAGAACTACATCATTTACATAAACAATGAGTGTTGTAGTCTACTAAGTGAGGATGTTCACAAACAAGGTGTGATTCTGCCTAATTTTGTTTGAAGCCATATTTTAAGCATAACCTGAGTAAATCTCTCAAACCAAGCTCTCGGGAGACGGAGACTATTGAGACTATATAATGACTTCCGAAGTCTACATACTTTGCCTTCTATCTGATGGTCCTCAAAACCAGGGGGAATGTCCATATATACCTTGCTTCGAGGTCACCATGGAGAAAGGCATTCTTTACATCAAACTGATGAAGTGGCCAATCTAGATTAGTACTAAAGAGAGAAGCACTCTGACTGAATTTATCTTAGCCATGGGTGCAAAGGTCTTCTTGATAGTTAACGCCATACATCTGAGTGAACCCTTTTGCCAACAAGTTTAGCCTTGTAACGCTCATAAAACCATCCGTTTTGTGTTTCACAGTATACACCTCATTTGCATCCCACAGGTCGTTTGCCCTTAGGTAACTCAGTCATTCCCAAATCCATTCTCCTAAGTGCTTTTATTTCCTCAATCATGGCAAGTTTCCACTCAGAGGTAGCAAGAGCATCCTGAAAATGGTTAGGAATGCTAACAGAGGAAATATTGGACACAAACGCTTTATATGAGGATGACAAATGAGAGTAGGACACAAAATTTGAGATAGGTTGTTGAGAACAAGACCTCACACCCTTTCTCTTGGCAATCGAACATCAAGATTAATGGACTCAAGAGATTTAAAGTTACCTGGATTCTTATCAAAAGCAAAGAGATGACAGTGGAGGAGCAGAAGTGGTCTCTTGTATCCAGTTATTTTTCTATCTGTTTTTGTCCCTGACACTAAACTTGCCATTCCCTATCCTTGGTAATATTGGTTTCTGAAATCCCAGTATGCGATGGTGATGCAAGAACAACAAGTTCCACCATAGGAATCACATGAATTCACACAACCAAGGCTCCCCCTGAATAGAGGACTGTAAACCGGAAATGACAAGAAATAGGACTATGACTCAAAGAATGTGACATCCATGACACAAACCACTTACGACAAGGAGGGTGATAACACTTAATACCCTTTTTGAGTAGAAGAGTACCCAAGGAAAACACATTTAAGTGAGCGGAGGTCCAACTTACCACGAAGTAGAGAGTGATTATGGACAAAACAGAACAAACCAAATATTTAGGAGGAATAGAAAACAAGGACTGGGAACCTAGGAGGACTTGGAGAGGAGCTTGTTTTTGCAAGACCTAGTAGGAAGACGATTTATAAGATGGACAGCGATGAGAACATGTCGCCCCAGTAGGACCGAGGCACAGTCATAAAAACACTTACCGAGCCATGTCAAGAAGATGACGATTTCTTGCGTTTCGCCACCCCATTTTGTTGAGGGGTATTGGTGCAAGAGGTTTGATGGATAATGCCATGAGTAGAAAAATATTGTCCTACCCAGAATCTATGTACTCACCCTCATTATCAGAACGAAATATTTGGCAGTGGCCCCAAACTAAGTACAAATCATCTTATGAAATTGCGGAACACAGAGAAAAACTCACTCTTGTCTTTCATGAGATACACCCAAGTAGTACGAGAAAAATCATCAATAAATGTAACAAACAGCGATGACCTTCACAGACACAACATGAGATGACCCCAAACATCAGAATGTATTAATAAGAAAAGAACTAAACTTTTATTAAAACTGGGAGCAAAGAAAACTCTATGTTATTTTGCCAAGCTGACAAGACTACAAAGAAATTCGAGACACATTATTGTTTGAAAAAACAGATAAAAATAAATGCTTAAGTAAATAAAAAGAAGGATGCCCAAGACGCCAATGCCAAAACCATATATCATCGGTGGTAGTAGGACGCATGGTGGAAGAATGAGCAGCTTTTCCGGTTCATCCAAGAAGTAGAGACCATTTTTTTGCACTACCACTGTCAATCATCCTCCTCGTGACAAGGTCCTAAAAAAGACAATGATTAGAAAAAAATGTCACACCACAATTCAAATCCTTTGCAATACGACTCAAGGATAGTAGGTTAACGAAAAAATTGGGAACACAGAGAACAGAAGAGAGAGGTAAAGTAGGAGTGACATGGACTAAACATTTCCAGAAATAGAAGAAATAGTACCATCTACAATCCTAACTTTGTCCTGACCTGAAGAAGGCTTATAGGAGAGAAAAGATCAGGAGGACCAGATATATGATCTGAGGCACGGAATCAATAATCCAAGGTAAAGACTTATGAGACAGGAAAACACAAGGAGAAGAGGCTAAGTTACCTGAGCGGGCAAATGACGAGGAAGATGATTGAGAGTAGTAGAAGACCCCGGCGGTCTAACAATTGACGCAGAACATCCTCAAGCTCATGAGTAGTCATGCCAGAGAGATCATTAGAAGCCTGGCCAATGGAAGTAAATTAGAATCAATTGTATCAACGGCACTAGACTGATGAGACCGGGGATAGGAGCCACTCCTCTAGACTGGTTGACCGACTCTTCTAGAACTAGACGATCATCTCGACCCCTAGATAGAGTCCCATGAAGCTTCCAACACGTCTCACGAGTATGCCGCGGCTTCTTAACATAATCAAGAATACAGACTCCTTTGGTGGCAGACGAAGAAATGGAGCTAGGCTTAGGCCATCTTGAAGGGTAGACATAATGCTGAGCGGTTAGTAGAGACAGGGGACATCATAGCAGACCGGCGACTATCCTCATTCTGGACATAGGCAAATGCCACCTGAAGTGAAGAAAGAGTATCCATACTTAAAACCCGACTCCAAACCGGATCATACTCTAATTGAGACCGGCTAGAAACTTAAGACCCTCTCCTGTGCAATGAACTTCCTATACCGACAAAATCAGCAGTGCAAACAGGCTTATAGTCCTGCAGGTGATCAAGGCATTTCCAGCCGTTGGTGAGGAAGGTGAAGTACTGAAGAACCATCTCTCTCGCTGAATAGAGCTCTCAATAGAGCGGCGTGAACTCAAATGCTTGGGAGAAATTCCCTTTTGTGGAAATACGTGGTAGCCAAGCATCCCAACATCTTGGGCAGTCTCCATAGACAAGTAGCCCTCGCCAATGTCTGGTACCATCGAATGAATAAGTAACCCATAATCAAAGGTTGGTAATCTCCCATTGGTCATAACCCGGGTCAGTTGTACTGGTGCCTGTATCCTGCCATCCACATACCTCATCTTCCCTCTGCTCTTCTAAATATAGTCAAACTCTGCGACCATACGAGATAATTCTGACCATTAAAATAGAGAGGTGGTAATTTTAAGACTAGGGTTGGGGTTATCAGTCATATAGTAGGTTGTAGAACCCCATTTTTGACCAACCTCAAGACTCAGACGTCACCAGTTGAGCGCTCGGTGATATTAACATATCGTGCTCGTTCAGAAGTTTCAGAGTCTCGGCTGCAAGCCTTGCCTCCGGATTTCCAACTCTTTCGTGCCTTGCCTCGGTTTGTGAACCAGGCTCTGTTTTCTCTATTTTCTCTTCCTGAAGGAGAGAGAGGTCTCGTAGATCATCTCTCAGTGGCCATAGGCTACGCTTCGTGGTCGTAGGCCATTTTTTCCCATTTGGAGCCCGGTTTCCGATTTTTTCGGAGCCGACGGCCGTGTGCCTCGGTTCGGGACCGCTTAACCACCTCGTTTGCTCCGGTTTTTGGCACACACCTTGTTTCCTCCCTTTTGAGGAACACTGTGGTCTGAGAGACCACTTCGTGGTCGAACGCCACCTCCGGTGCTTAACAGCCTGTTTTGGGGCCTCCGGGCCGCGTGTTTAAGTCCCCGAACCTTTGCTTTGCATCCGTTTTTGTTCATTTTTGGTGGAGACCTTATTTTCATTGTTAGAAGCTTGTAAGAGGGTGGGAGGCCAGCAATTGTTCTGAAAAAGCCAGCTTTATTTCTTCATCGCTCTCCCGTCGCCCGTTTTTCCTCACTAAAAAGCTAATGTTGACCACCCGGGGCCACTTTCTTTAGCCTTAAACCCCATATTTGTGTTGTACACACTTGGGAGACCACCAATATGTATAGGCCGCCATAAATTGTCCTTGACCCTTTTGAACCCCTTTAAAAGGTTGGCTTTTCTTCTCTAGTTTACATTTTTGGGTTTTGACCACATATTTGTGTTGTGCACACATGAGGCCAACAATTTTCATTGACCTTTTGACCCCTGGCCGGCCGGCTAGGGGGTGGTCGGCCGGCCACTTGAACCTTTTGAACCTGGCCAGCCATGATCTCTCTTCCAAGTGTATTCCAACTTGTGCAATTTGTTTTCTCCCCAGATTTTGTATTGGCGGGGCTGCTTTTGGGGGGGTTTGAATTTTTTTTTCCCGCCTTTTTCTTTCTCCCTCCTCCTTTTTTATAAAGGGTTACAAAAAATTGTTTAGGGCCATTGGCATACAATCCTCCCTCTCCTCTCTTCCAAGCCTCAAAACACCCTTGGTTCTTGGCCATTTACACACCAACCCATAGCACAAGGCCTCCATCCTCCATTCCAGCATTTTGGGACTGTTTTGAAGAGGTTGAGAGCTCAGAAATTTGGTCCAAGAGCTGCTGAAGTTTGGTCTTCAAGGGTAAGTCTTCTTCTCCTCTTTTCTTGTCATATTTTGCTACTAATGAATTTTTGGCGCTCCGACCCAAACTGGAAATAGTCTTATTTTGAGCTTATCTTCATGTTTGATTAAGGATTTTTCTCTGTTTGAAGCCACCTGCTACCCCTTTCCCTTTATCCCTCTTTTATGGCTATTTCTTGCATGATATGTTAGCCCTGTTTGTAAGCATTTTTGGCTTCCAGCCAACTGTAAAGTGCTTCATTTTGAGCCCCTCTTCAACTTTGTTGAAGGGCTCTTCATTGTTTGAGGCCAGCCACTGCCTCTGCTTTCTATCTCTCTTTTAGGGCCTTTTTTACATCATATTGTAACCTACTTGTGAGCTATTTGGACTTGGTCATAAACTGTAAAGTGCCTTATTTTGAGCCCTCTTAAACTTTGTTGAAGGGCTCTTCACTTTTTGAGGTTAAATTCTGTCCCTTGCTTCTATTATCTCTTTTAGGGCCATCTTGTGCATGATAGTTTAGACCTATTTGTGTTTGTTTTTGAGATTTGTTATAAACTGGAAAAGTTTTTTTTTGAGTCCCTCTTGATGTTTTATTAGGGAATTTTCTTGTTTGAGGTCATCTCCTTCCTTGCATGCCTTATTTCTTCATGTTTTGAGCCATACATGTGAGCATTTGCATTGGCCTTGTTTTGGCCTTCTAGCCACTGAAATCCAGTGGATTTTTCAGTGGCTAAGACACTTTTTGAGAGCCAAATTAGAGGGGGGTGACCCCTTCTCTCCTTCTCTTGTTTGGTGCCTTTTTGGCCTTCCAAAGAAACCCTACCTTGCATGCTTCGAAGTCACTTTCCAGGGTCAATTTGGTGAGTTTTGGGACTACCATATTTGATTTTCATAGTTGTTTTATGCCATGCTAAATTTCTACCTTGCATGTGCTTAATAACTCCTTGCATGGCCCCTTCAAAGTAACTTGTTATTTTTGCATACCATGGTTGCATATCAGTGGTTATTTGGGCCTATTTTCACATGATTTATTCACTGATTTTGTGCTGGTTTGGTGAGATTACATTTGCTTCATATACTTGCCATGTAAACCATGATTGCTAGTCAAGATTGCATGCTATTTTGTCCACCATGCTAGCATCTTTTGGCCATGCTTTGAACTGGAAATGTTCATGTTTTGGGACTGCCTTGGCTCTGTCTTCATGCTTCATGATCAAATAATGCATGCTTTGAATAGTTATAAGTCATTCCATGTGCCTATGTTTCGAGTTTCGGGTTTCATCTCATGCATCGGGTGCCATTTTTTCCATGTTTTGGGGCTGTTTAGCATCATATTTAGTGCTGAATTTGTGAGTTTGCATGCCATCTTCCATCCCTTGCCATCTTGTTAGAGTTACATGTTAGCCTTAGGTTCGGTCCTCGGTTTGCGTGCATGCGTGCACACATTTTGAGAGTCTCATTTTCACCTAATGGCTACTGATGTGAGTGTGGCTAGGTCCACTCATGTTAGTGTAAGTCCATTATGCATTGTGTATGCCATTTCATTTCATAGCATTGCGTATGCAAGGTTGTATGTTAGAGCATTGTGTATGCCTCGTTACATCGTGCATTGTATGTGCCATTTCATAGCATTGCGTATGCTAGGTTGCATGTTAGGATTGCATTCATGCATGTCATGCATATTGCATTGTGCTTGGGATAAGAGTTAGCCCAAGCACGGGAAAATGAGGGACGTTTGGTACTCCGAGTGACGGAACGTGTCTCAATTGCCGGTCGCCGACACTCCGGATTATCCATGATGGAGTCTAGGCCTTATTGTGTCCATAGTGCATTCATTTCATATTGAGTCATGCAATTCGACTTCTCGCCATCATACATCGAGATGCGTGATTGGTGGCACGAGATCGAGGACTAACTCCCTGAAGAGTAGTCATGCTACATATGTGAAAATACTTTGTCATGCCCTTTGTTCTCTCTGTTGCAGCAAATCAGAAATCAATACTTCCGGAGCCTGGCACGCATCCCAAGAATAATTGCAAACAGAGGCAAACCGGGGCATCGCAAGGGATTCTCCGCACAAGGCAACCCGAACATGCATAATTCATCATTTGGAACAAGAGCTGAGGCGGTCCATGGATTTACGTGCCAATTTACTGCTTTCCTAGATTAATTTGTTAATTAATTAGATTCTATATTTATTCGGGACTGTATTATTTATTCATTTGGGACTGTATTATTTATTCGGACCCTCTGCCGAGGGCAATGTTATATAAGTGTGCGTGCGTGTGATGTATGTCTTCCAACCCACGTCTTTCTCCCTTTTATTTTTCAGCTTATGATGTTAGATTAGGGCATGTTTCAATTAGCATACAGTATGATAGCATGTTTGCATTCATTCATCTGTCTTGCATGCACCAGGCTCGGCGCATCATACTAACTGCATTTGTATCTCAATTCCAAGTTGAATACATGTTAGTTGTAGCATTTCACATGCCATCTTTAGAATAGCCGAGCCTATCTTATTACATTTTGCATGTGTTGCATTAGGCATTTCTGTATAGTTAGGATCATGCATGGATTTCTACATAAGCTTTTGTTTTGGCTTGGAGTACTCGGTAAGTGTTTATACTTTAGCATCCTTGCATGTGTGTGAGTGACTGCCATGATAGCATGCTTACCATGAGGCTATATGTTTATGTGATAATAACTGCCTGAATGCCTGTGTGTGAAGGTTGGATTATTTGAATGGGAATAAATGCATTGACTGTGAGTTTTAAGCCCACTAGATAGTGGCAAAATCATGTTTTTCTATGCCATCGAGGATGGCAAATCCACGTCTTAGCCTACCTGCGGGTAGCACCATCAAACCATTTTCAAATAAACAAACATGAAATGTTTTGTTCTAATTCAGGCGACCCAGTCTATACTTGTATGTTGTGCGCATCACATAGTAAATCTAGGCTAATAACCGGAATAAGAACGCATAATGTTTCCAAAAATAGATATCATGGTTAGTAGAGGCCATTTTGATCGGGCGAGCGGGGGTGCTCACGAAGTGACCTTCCCCCAATCGTACCCAAGTTCCGAGCCGAGGCAACTTTGTGATGACGGACACGTGACCTTAGGCAACGAGTTAGGGTTTCCTAAATTTTCGCAAGCTCACAAATAAGCCTAAAATACTATGCAAAAATTGGCCTCAAAGAGAGTTTAAACACAAAAGGTGAGGAGGAGACCTCAAACAGAGAAAGACCCTTAATCAAACATGGAGATGAGAACAAAATATGACTATTTATAGTTCGGGTCAGAGCCCAAAAATGTTTGCAAGAAAGGCTTATAAATGAAGCAAGAAAAGACTAGTTTAGGGGAAAAGTGTGCTTACCCTTGAAGAACAATGAACCAGCAGCCTCTGGACCAAATTTCTGAGCTTCCAACCTCTGCAAATGGCCTCCAAGTTTCTGGAATAGAGTATGGAGGTGTGGTGCTATGGGTTGGTGTGTAAATGGTACAAGGCTTTTAGGGTTTTGAGGCTTGGAAGGGAGGGAGAGAGAGAGAGATGTAAGCAAGGCTCTAAACAAGGATTTTGTAACCCTCAAGGCCTAGACTCCATCATGGATAATCTGGAGTGTCGGCGA